TTCCCCCTCATTTTAGGATTCTTATGTGTATGTATTTAGAGACGTAATTTTGCTTGGTTATTGCAGAAAAATAAACTCCATTGGCATCTCTCTGCACACTAAAGGAGGAATGTTGAGCCCCTTTGGGGACTGCTTTGGGGTTGAGATTGTTAATCTGGATAGAAGGCAGAAACCAGCCTGAGGGGGAAGTCAGCCGAGAGCTCAGCATCAGGAGTAGGGCCATGAAGAGATGCAGTTGTAGCTGACCACTTGAGTCAGAAGCTAGTAAAATATGTCTATTTTAGAATTCAACTAAATAAGGGGCTTTAATAAAAGTTCTTTTTTTTTTCCCCCTTCTAGGCAAATCCTCTTGCCAATGATACAATCAATGTAGGCTTCAGAAAAACATACAGTGTTGCCCAAATCACCTCTGATAATTTTTTAGTGGTTGAGGCCAATGTTCTCTTCTTCATCCCAATGGCTTTTACTTTGACACCTCTATTACCATGTTTTCCATATTTTTTTTCAAACTCTCTTTAATGATGAAAATGATTACCAGTTATTTCATCTGATTACATATCGTTTTCTTTGATGATTGACAGCTATGAATAATTACAAGAAAATAATGTCTATTCTTTTCATAAGCAATTTCATCTGGTCCCTTGGTCTTAATTAATAACTAAAAGCTGATGACTCTAAGATGCATATCTGAGTTTTAACTGCTTCCTTTGGAGGAAATCAGAATATCTAATTATCTGCATGTTGGCTATTTAATAGAATGTTAAAATCAGTTGGTTTAAAGCAGAACATTGCAGAAGATGAATGAGTTCTATCTCTTATAATATATAGATGATTAATGCTCATTTTTAGTTTAAAATGATGTTTCTTTTTTCCTCCCATAAAACAAGTTAAATGTTGATGTTTCACAATGATACAAAAAAAAAAAATGTGGCAGTAATTATTATCCAAAACAGACATGGATACCAGAGAGAAGATTTTTTTCTTCTGTTTCCTGTTTTCCTCTCATTATGTGGATCAGAGTTTCTGACTAATTATAAGGAGAAACATCCAAAAACTAAATCCATCTCCCATATGAACTAAATGGATTTACCTGTCATGAAATATACTAGAATCGCTTGTCCCTAGATACCACAAATTTGTGGAGTTCCCACATTAAAAAGATATTTTTACCTTTCAGCTTCTGCAATACTAGTTTCATCTACTCACATGTGTTTTTTTTTCTTTTGTTTCATAAACCAGCTTCATTTTAAAGCAGGATTTAGAAATTTAATATTAAAACTATTAGAAGTCTATTTTAGAGAACTTAAAAAAATTCTAAGATATAAGAGGAGAGAGAATCCAAATAAGAACATACTTGGAAAATAACAAAGATGGAAAAGAAGAGCAAAGTCTTTCCCACCATTGTTAAGAATCTATTTAGAGGACAAAGACAATCACTTCAAATCCCCAGCAGCTGAAGTTACCCCCAGGACCACCTAGGAACCCAATTACTTTTAGTAACAGCAACAATACCAAACATGATATCACTACTAAAATGATAACAACAATATCTGATTGAAAATAATAACAAATCAATTGAATAGAGGAATAGAATATGCCAGTTATTATGTAGTATGATATCAAAATTAGTAGTTAAATCTAAGAGGCAGATCCTATCCATTTCACAGATGAGGAACTATATTTATCCACTCCCTTTCCCACTCACCCTCAGAGTGACTAATCCTCAGATTCATTCCCATGTTCAGTGTTGCTCAGTTTAACAAATACTTATCAGATGCTCATAACATAGCAAAATGATAGATGATACAAGAACTTGTAAAAGACTCGTAATTTACTTAGGAGGGGCAGAAAAGAGAGTGGAAAAAATGAAGAGAGAGGGAGGGAGGTGACGGGAGGAAAGGAGAAAGAGAAGACACCTGTTAGGAGTGACTCTCTCCTAGGCTAAACTGATTTGGACATTTGGTTCAAATGGTTTCAAATCATGTTTGAGCAGGGATGACAAAACTGTTATTAATTGGATTATGGTTAACCCTTAACAAGTGATTGAGGATTATAGCTATTTCTTCCATGTTTGCATTTCTCAGCACTTAGCACCAACTGAGAAATCCCCATAAGAATCATGAGAACAGAAGCAAATCCCTGGCCAGATGTTCATAGGTCACCATGAAGATTCTCAGCTACCCTGAGAATGGAGTGGTGCTGGGAGGCAAGAACCAATGACGTGAAGAAAAGGCCCCGTGTTCCTCTTCCCACAGAAATTGGACTCAATGGCCTTTGTCCTAGTGACAGCCACAGACCTGAAATCATGATGAACTTACCATTTTTACTATACTATAATTGCCCTTGACTATAATCCCTTCATTCCCTTTTAAAGGATTTCAATACTGAGGGCTTGTTTTTCTTCTTCTTCTAGCCAAGTTTCTTTCCATTGCTTTTAGCTTTATTGTCTTTTAGAAATATTTTATTTAGTTATTTTTTTAAAGATTTATTTATTTATTTATACAAGCACAGGGTACAGTCAGAAGCATGGGAGGGTGAGAGAATTCACCAGAGTGGAGAGCAGAACAGGCAGACTGACAAAGTACACTGCTGAGGGGAGCAGCGGGCGGCAGGAGAGGTCTGAGTGCCATGTGGGACCCTCGCACGGCAGCTGGGGATGAAACCGGTGCTGCAGAGGCTGCGGGCAGCTTTGCAACCCAGCACTCAACCACTGCGCCACCGGGGAGGCCCTAGAAATCTTTTAAATTCTTTGACAGCACTGGGACAATTGAGGCAAGAGATAGAGTATATACCATCTGAAGCCAGCCTCAGGTTAATGCCTACACCATCTTTCTTGATTGAATGTCTCATGTTATAGCTTCATCCAGAGCACACGTGATGAAATGAGAACAATTAGATGGAGGCTAATTAGGATGGAAAACTCTAGGAACCTAGCCAGCTCTTCTCCATAACTGGAGTTAGGAGGGCCTTTTTGTGAGGGCTAGAATGCAATGGGACTACAGATATATTTCCCACACACGAAGGGGCTCTTATAAGGATTCCTGGAGGCATCCCAGCTCCAAAACAGACCAACAGAGCATGCATAGAGCTATTTATGGTTGAGGGAGGGCAATGGGAAGAGAGAGTGGGTGAGTAAGTGCAGAGAAGAGGTGATGGCTGAGGAATGTGCTTTGATGCCAAATCTAATGGAAAGATCCTAGATGACAGCATGATCTCAGAGCACACAGTTAACTTGTGGTGAGGGCTGACATCGCCTGTGCATTTTATTTGAAATCAAAACACACATTATTTAACAAATGTCAACATCTACTCTTTTGCTCTCTGACTCAGAAATTAATATGGGGAATTGAGTGTTCGTTTAGAGACAAACACCTGAAAGAAAAGCCTTAAGGCAAAAGAGTAAATTTTGTGTCATGGAAGTTTGTGTTCTATGAAGTTTGGGACTTGCCATTGTGAATGACCCCAATCCTTAGATATATTTTTCTTTTACAAAGAGAAGCTGATCCCTTACCAAAATGATATTTTCTTTTAGACGGAGACCAATTGCAATCTGTCTTGGAAATCAATTTCCTTTTGGAACAACCATTGTATTGGGGAATCCTGAATATCTAAGTGATATCTCCTGAAGTGTATGTCATTTCAGTCTCTTGATTCTTGTTCTGTTTTCAGAAGAGAAAACAAACAACAGGTCACCCTTTTTAATAAAACAATTTTGACAGAATTGCTGGAGATTATTAAACTATTCATCAGCTTGGGGCTTGCTCCTAATATGGAGTCATCATTATAGTATTCATATGAAATCATAACCTTGAACACCAGTCAAGAGTGTTCATTTATTTCTTTTGACTCTCTACTTGAGCTGTCAGCATTTTTGTCTCCAAGCGTCAGATTCCTAGTTATGGCATGGTCTATGCCATTGAGCAGAAAGCAGGCAGTCTTTGACACTTCTTTTTCCCCTGACCACACAGACACTATTCTGCAGGGGTAACACAAGGAAGTAAAGTTGATAAATGGAAAAAAGGAAACTGCCCAAGACCGAATCAACCTCGCTCTTAAAGACACTAGCTTAGGTCCTGCATGGTATGTCACGCTTGAGAAACTTAGTCATAAAAAGTTGGCAACAAGAATTTTTACTGACCTGCTTCCTGGGTGGGAAAATTAGAGTCAGCTTAGAGCAAGTTTTTTAAAAAGTCATGTTTTTCTAACATTTTCAATGAATCAAGTTGGTGAAAAGTGCTGGATTTGAAGTTCTTAATGTGATTTTCTCGAGAGAAAGAAAATATAGATACTGATCCAAATATAGTGCAACTGTTGACCTCTTGTCACCTTAAATTGCTGTCCATTGGGTTGTAGTGGTCTTGTTACCATCCAGGACTCTGACTTCTGCTGAGACTCTGAATAATGATCCAAAGTCAGCCTTACAGATGACTTTCAAAAGTCATGAGAAAAAAAAGTACTCAGTCTGCCAAATGTGCATTGGTTTTACCCCTTTTTATCTCCCTCCTGTGCTGTTGCTCTGCTCCCTGACTCTGCCCACGCTCACCCCCTGTGCATGTCCCCTGACTTTCTATTCCAGGAGCTCCTATAGCATCTACACATTATAGATAAAGAACCACCCAAGCATTGCCTCACAACTGCCAAGTTGTTCTCATATAGACTGTATTTCATAAAGGACAGTTAAAAGAGAATAGGCAGAAGTTTGTTTATTATGTAAACTTTACTACTTATATTATCTATACTCTGAATTGTTTTAACTCTTCTCATGGCACTGCTTATTGATGCTTTGGTGATTTACCATAAAGTCATCACATATGACATTCAATGGGAGTTTGATAATTCTGTGTCAATGGCACTATATTATGGAGGAATTTGAAATTGTCATTATTGTGATGGGCAACCTATGATTGGTGCTGTTACAATATGGTCCAATGTATCATTTTCTTGGCATCTTTATTTTCATGCGTGATGGTGATATCAGCATTTTTATCTTAATATGGCAGATTCATCTTCAGGAAGCTGATTCAATGCCTACAAGAACCCAGAAATAAGTGTTCCAATTTTCCAGCTGGTATTTCTTTATTCATAAGGTATGTCCCCATGTTTTAGAAATGTACTATCTCTTCTTGTCAAAATAACTGAAAAATGAAAAAAAAAAGTCTTCAGGTATATTACTATTTATTGTGTATTCTTCCATAAAAAATTACTTGTGATAGTTCAAAATAGAATTTTGAACATTTATGATTAGTCAAGTAGAAGTTGAACTCAGTATATTTTATTTAAAAACCCTAGGCTCAAGATAGCATACAGATTCTTAGAATTTTTCAAACATATAACAGCCAAAATTTTTAAACAAATAAATAGAACAAGAAAGAAAGAGATTATTACCTAAAACTGGGGATAATAAGCCAAAGTAGGAAATTTTAATGAGTCAGTTCTTATACATACCTTTTATAGAAAAAAATACTGTATTCCTTTTATAGAAAAAAATGCTGACTAAACAATGTTTAATAAAGATTCAGAAATGAAGCAAATAGAAAGACTCTTGTAAGTTCTGACCTGCGGAGCTCTCTAGGGAAGGGAGGAAAACTGACTTTTTCCTAAGACAGTCCATCTTTGAAAGATGAGTAACACCATGGGGCTTCATTGGAAGCAGCTGTAGGCCTTCTGCTTTGCCATCTGTTGGCTTGGAATTCTTGCATTTGACCAACTTGTCAAATCCACAGCTTTTGCTGTCATCCTAGACAGACCTTTTATGACAGAGGAAAAACATCAGTGCATTGTCTCCAATCCCTCTCACTGAGCTTCAAAGGGCAAACAGTTAGAAGCCATATGGCCAAGTTTGCTTTCTGTTAGATCTCTTGTTGGTCATTCCCCTTCCAGGTCTAAGTGAGCATAGTCCAAGATTCCACTCCGCAGTGAGCAGCTCTGGATTCCTGTGGATGTGATTAAGTCTCTATTGTGTCTGAAAGTGGCACAATACAACTAGGCTCTAATTATAATTCTGTGTCCACAATCAAATTGTAACTGACAGTCTTATTTTCTTACATATGATTTTAAAACATGTATCCCAACTTATTAGTAAATCAGCTATTTTTATGATTCAAGGTAATGTATTTTTTAAGAGCATTCCTTTTAGTTGATATGAAACTTGTCACTAAAACCAGCAATTAGAAAATGTTTGAGGAAAGGGGCTAAAGAAATTGTTTCAAGTTCTTAAATACTTATTATAAATAGTATATGATTAAGGCTTTGGAAAATTTGAAATAATATTTCAAAATATTTGTAAATTGTGAGTATAACAGAGAAAATTTATAACGTATTTGGAAGATGTTTATTGATTTTAAGCAATCTCTTCCTTTTGCATTTCAAATGTTTTTATAATATCAAGAAGTCAGTTATCAAAATGTCATTTCAAATAGACCTTTGCTCAAGATTTCATAAATATGAATTCATTTTTTGTTATAGTCATCATGTTTACTACTATTATAGATTTAGTAACTTATTTGATAGATTTCTTCTTACTATAATTGTAAGATAAGTGATTTTTTTTTTTATAGGACAAATTTTATACAAGGAGGTCTGGAGTGATTCCTAAAGTTTCACAATCTCTATCCCTGGAATTTATTTTGGAATACAGTTAATTCAAGTATAAAGACAATAAAGCATGATTATGTTTTTACAAGCTTAAAAAGCAGTGAAATCCACTCTTTTTTAATGCTGAAAGGAACATATCAATCTCTACATACAGATGTGTGAAATCACCCAGAAGAGGGTTCATCTTACTTTTGCTTCTTGGATAACAATGACCACGGACAATCTTCTTTTGAGTCTATGACATTTTGCAGTAGGCAACGTTTGCCACTTGAAATACATGCCTCTTTTCTTTCTACCCCCTTTATCTTTTCCAGTCCCCACACTTGCACCCAATCAAACTAGTCCTGCCATCTTTATTGCCAGTCAGATGTGAGTGGTCTAATAAGGTCCTTCTTTGAGGGCTCTTCTCTTTCCAGAAGGTGTTGCATTATCCAGTATAGACCCTAGTCTCTTACCTAAAAAAAACTTGGGACCAGGCAAGTTTTGAAATTCAGAAATTTTTATAATTCTAGATTTAGGTAGGTGATATGTCCATCCCCACCTAGCAATCAAATATACAAATATGTTTTCAGTGAAATGCAATAAATAATTGGCATAAAATGAATACATATACTATGCATAGCTCCAATTAGATTTTTTCACCAAATAAATTAGGGAAATAACCCAAACATTCAGTTTATCAGATTTCAGAATGACCAATAAATGATCATCAAACTATAAAAACATAAGGAAATACATCTAACTGAATGTTTGTGGGGATGGATATGAAACTTTCCTCTTCCAACGCTCTCAAAAACAGGTATCTCAAAATTTTTTCGCAAGGAAATGGATTCTGATGGACACCCACTTACTCATTTCAGGGAGATCAAGATCCTGCTTTCTGTGACTTTCTTTCAAAATTTCTTAAAGCAAGCTTATACCCCACTACCTTCCACACATAAATGTACACACTTTTATGGAATCACACATATGGAAGGTCAATGATAATAAATCTATTTTTACAAAAGTTACATTCTTCCAAATGGCAATGAAAGTTTAATTACAGAATACAGATACCAGAAGAAAAGCTCAATTTTGTTGAAATGTGTATAGTTGAATTTAAGGGTGAGAAGACTTATTCCACATTTTACTTAACTTTTCTTTAAGATAAAGACTAAAGAAGAGGTTTTTTTTTTAAAAGTTCTTTGTATGGGGACAAAGAATGAATCTGTCTTTGGTTTGTTGTGAAAGAAATTGATATTGGCTTTTGATGTTAGCCCAGTCAGGTATGTATTATTGATCTGAAAGCCAAATTCATGTCAGTTTAAAGGGGGAAGAAGATATGAGGGTATAACATATGATTTTTGGTAAATAAATAGTAACAAAAGAGATTTTCTCTAAAAACAGAGTGGTTAGAAAATACCCACATGCATTCAACACTTTGGAATGAGTATGAGACATTTATAAACAAAACTTTGTTCTTTTCCCAACATTGAAAATTCAGGGAAAAAGGACTATTTTACCATTTGCATTTATATTCATACATTTTAGTGAGGCATATGTCCTGTGGGGGTAGACTTGCTCTGACATATCAATTTTACTGATTTCAATATAAGAATAAAAGTCACCAAGAACTCCATAAAAAGTGAATGACCCTCCTTAAAGAGATACTGCAGAGAATATTGGAACTGTCATTATTCTCTGTAACATAGAGTGGAGTCAAAGTTCATTTCAACCTCTCAAGGTGGTTTGGATGTATAAGGCGTTTTTCCTGAGGCAGAGAGAAACAGAGCTGCCTTGCCTTGACCCCAGCCACTTTGTAGTGTTAGAGGTAGAGGGGTCACCTGATTTGTTCTTGTTTATCTTTCCTTGCAGAATCTTCATCCCCAACCTGTTAATCTTCTTTTGCAGACTAAACCAGAGAACCAGTTGAGATGGGTTGAAACCAATTTAGAGGTAGAATCTTGGCAGATCTGGTGAAGTCTAAACTTGGAAGAAAAGAGGATGTGAGTGTAGTTCCTGCCACTCTATTTAGCTGAAATCGTGAAAGCACAGACCTGACAGCCTCTCCTGCTCCTTAGTATTCCCCATATAATTCCCTGCTTCTCAAGTCTTAGATCCTGAGTGTCTTCTCCATTCCTTGGCCAATAAATAAAACCCTACGCTGCTTGAACCTTGACTCAGATGTTGTTCCTGGGCTTGTTCAGGTGTCCCATAGGTAAAAGAACTCAATTGATTAGTAATGGATGGATGGATACTTTGTTGAAACACCTTGCAGTGTTGCTGTCTGTGGCCTGATCAAGTCCCTGGGAAAACACCACTTCAAGGTCCTCAAGAGAGGAGCATGAAAGAGACCTTGTGAAGTTGGTCTTCTTCATTAGGGTGATATTCAGGTGATGAGAAGGGAATCTAGAGCAGTGACTGCATCCCTGGGAGCCACATCAGTGAAAGGAATGAATTGGTTAACATCACAGGTGATTGTGGGCATGGAAAAGGAGCGAGAAGTCAAGTCAAAATGCAGCCAATGTCATTGGGAGGGGAGGGGATACTGCAGCTGCAGGAGCAGGTCAGAAGAAGGTGACAGACTAGAAAGATTGCCAAAGAGAGCATCTATGCGCTCAGTCCAGTGTGGCCACGGATGCCTGGGGCACATAAAACAGGTCCCTGGTGGCAGGAAACAGGACACATGCTCTTTTAAGGTTATTTCCAGCACTGTCTTTGTGATTTCTAAGCAAATTTAGGGGAGGATGTAGCACACTCAAGTTTCCACTGTCCAAAATGAAAGATTTTTATATCTGAGCTCTTTTGTTAAGTGGTGACTGATTTTTCCACTTCTGTGCTTTGTTTTCATTGGTCAAGAAACATGAAGTGGAAGGAAGCGTGGCTCTACAACCACCTATCAGTTCCTGCAGCGCTTCCTCTGGGATAGGCATATCACATGGACAAACCCAGAACAATGCAATATCCCAACAACAGCTCTGCCAGTTCAGGAGAGCTGGCCTGTCCTCAGATGAGAGAGTCCAAAAAACAGGTACATGGCACTGGCTTCAGAGACATTTGCTCATGGAAGAATCTGAGTGGTTCAGAATTGGGGCTGTTTTATTTTAACTGAGACTCCTGTTGGAGTTGCTTGGATGCCCTGAGAAGTCCTGGAATAAATCTGAAGCCAACTGTATCATCAAAGACAAAGAGAATGGGTGAATGGATCCTCAATATATTAGTAAGGCTTTTCAGTTGGAAGTTTTGACTTAAACTCACCTGACTCTATCACTTCTATTCCCCCATATAAAAATATAACATAGAGGATGTTTCTTCTGAGATGATCTTATTTGTACTTATTTTATGCAATTATTCATTATTCTTAAATCTCATGATATAATGCTATATCCTGAGGTCAAATTCTATCACTTTAGAAGAGTATTTTAAAAGCTAGTGATGGTGTCCTCTGTACAAATCCACTAAATCAGTAGTCTGGTTATTCAAAATTAGATTAAAGATTATTGCCAAGACCCCTTTATAACTGAAGGACTACTTCAAACTGCCCCTTAAAGAGAAATCCTGTGCTGGATGGAAACACCCCACAATATCTGCTAGTTTTCTTGAGATAACTTTGTAGTTGCAATAGTGAGAAGAAATTTTTTAATATTTTATATTTCAGGTGACTTTTTTTTTTTAAGATTTATTTATACAAGAACCGGGGTACAGTCAGAAGCGTGGGAGGGTGAGAGAATTCACCAGAGCCAGAGTGGGGAACAGAACAGGCAGACTGACGAAGTACACTGCTGAGGGGAACAGCGGGCACGGCAGGAGAGAGGAGAGGTCTGCACACCATGTGGGACCCTCCCTGGCGGCCGGGGATCGAACCAGCACTGCAGAGACTGCGGGCAGCTTCACAGCCCAGCGCTCAACCACTGTGCCACCAGGGGAGGCCCTCAGGTGACATTTTTTGCTCTACCATATGTTCACATGCTCCAGTCACCCTCCACCAAATCACCTGTGCTAATACCCTGTCTTCCTCTCTCTCCCCTCCTGTTCTCTCTGGTCACCATTATAGTCTTTCACTGAGTTTAATATTTACTCCTACTGTATTTTTGCCTGTGTATGTTTTTTATTTATATTCCCAGGATGAGTGAAACAATTCAATATATGTCTTTCATTTTTTCCCTTATATCACATAACATAATCACTTTGTAGTCCATCCACTATTTCATCTTTCTCACAGCTGTGTCATATTCCACTGAGTATATATTTCACAATTTAATGGTCCATCCCTCCACTGAACCCCAGGATAAAGTTTTTGCTCTAGAGAAGTTTCTGGCTCTCTTTAATTATCCTCTCATACAGTTGGAAATTTGATAGTAAATATGTAAAAGGTCACAATTCTTGGAATGGGCAGATTCACACTGAATTAACAGTTTAACATTAGAAATTTTCCACATTGTCTTTAAAAAATCCTGTGATAAATCTTACATTACTTAGATTTGGGGAAGACTTGGGAACTAAAATCACCTTTTGAACACTTAAAAACAGTAATGAAATCAATACATACAACTTGGCTCTATAACTAGAAATCTCTGGGCTGAAAAATTCTTTTGATTTTATGAAATGAACCAGAGCATTTTTCCCTCTTTGTAGCTTAACTTCTTTTTTTCCAAATTGAAATGACTTAACTTCAAGAACTTTTGAAGTTTGGTTCATGTTGGGTAAACATGCAAAAGCTTAATGATAGAGAAAAGGTTATGTCTCCAAGATACAAATTCCTTGCCGCATCCCAATGAGATAGTGATATCTTCTTGCCCTTGCTTGTAAAATGTTACTATCTAGATGTTCTTTCCTATGGGAGTTCTGCCAGTGCCAGTTTCTGCTCCAAGTACAAAAGAGTCATTTAAGAATAACTCTGCTAAGGACAAATCTTCAGTAATGAGTAGCCTATGCTTTCTTAAAGCTTCTATGCACTGGAATTCTATGGATGCTTTACAGGAGAACTGTCCAAAGTTCACTCTTTTTTCTGTGTTCTGTTCCCTTAAGACTCTGTTGAACCCTACAGGCTGAATTCAGAATGTTTCTGAATGGATCATTCCGAGTAACCATCTTGGTGAAACTGAGAAATACTTGTTGAACACAAGATGGCAGTAGCATACCATCTTTGGGATTAAATCTCAGGGATTAGAATTCTAGAAATCTGAGATTTTTTTCATGTTAATTTTTATCTTTTTTTTTTTTTTTTTGGGTGTATATGTTTGGAAATCATGGATTGAATCAGATAAAATGATGGTTTTTCTCTCTCTCTTAACCATCCCATAGATATGTTTCTGATGAAGCCCTTTCATTTACTCCCAAGGTTAAGAATATTCAATTTTAAGTTTGGTTCTATGAAGACTAATATCTTCCATTTGAAAATAAGTACCTAAGTGGGAAAGAATAAAACAAAGTGTTCAGCAATCCAAGTATAAAGGGAAAAAAAGACTCAGAAGTCAAAACCAGCTTTTATAGCATTCCATCTCCTGGTCTTTCTAGGGAAAAAATGATAATTTGGAAACTTTGAAATAATGAATTGTTTCTTAGTATTTTTCACAGGAGAGACAGACTTAGGTTAGTGGTTATTTCATTGTTGATGAATTCTCTTGTTTATTAATTCCATGAGTGATAACTTTTAAAGTTTTATGGTTTACTTCTATCAATTCTCTGAGTTGAAAAAACACAAGCATATTTTCCTAGTTCCTCAAAGTTGGAATAAAAATAATGTTTGTTTTCCCTTATCATTGTTTAAAAAATACAGTATATATAATCTTTGTAATTCTGGGCATCCACTAGTAATTCAGCAGTCCAGATGCATAAAAATATCTGAATTTTTAAAGAAAAGTTTAAAATAAAATAAAATTTCAAGTAAAATAACATTTGGTTTCAATTAGGTTTTGTTATTTGACTTTACAAAATCTTAGTAAAAATCCTGAGAAATGAGTCCTAACTCTGGCACAGACACAGATAAAGTTACCAACTTCTATGATTGGTTCCTGCAAGCTTGGAAAAAAAAAAAAAGGATGGAGGGAGGGGCACAGCTGATTGTTCTTGAATTCTGGTTCAGAGTTCTAACTTTCAAGTTGGCAAGAGAATACTGGCTATTTCCCAGAAGCTAGAGGCTCTTTGAATTTCATAGAACACCAGGTGGCAGAATTGATCTTTTTAAGCTACCGATCTTCAACTTGAAAATTTAGAAAATTTAGTAAACAGCAGCAATTGTTGGCAATTGTTGAAACACTTAATAGTCACAAATTTTAAGGTGATATTGCATGTACCAAAATATATGAACTATGAAAAGCATGTTATATGAGTTTCTTATAATTTACAAAGAAAGAAAAGTGAATATAAGAATAAACATTAGTTTTTCTAGTAGACATGGAACAGGAACATTTTTTTAAATTTATCTGACATTGTTAATAACTTTATCAGGTACCACCATTGGTACAATATCAAAACATATTTATGTTTTAGCAGAGATTGCCAGAAGTTCCATTAGGATTAACAGAACATTGAAATACTGAATCTTATGATTGAACAATGATAGTCCCTATTTTATTTTCACATTGAATGTTTATGCAAACATAATTGGAAATAAAATGTCTGGAAGTTGGAGAACAGATTTAGAAACTACGAAAGGACTCATATACTAAATTTTGGAATGCAAGGAGGTGACTTTCAGGTCTGGATCATCCTTTAGGTGAATGAGAGTCCCAGGACTCTTGATCTGCTGGGCTTTGAGATAGGAGTCACCTTCAGTCGAGATGGTTAACAGCCACCTGCCATTCCTCTGTTGGTTGGGAAAACCCTCACCCCCTTTTCTCTCTTGACAGGTCTGCAGTTTCTAACTTGACCGTCAACCTCACCACGGGACAGGAGGTAGTGGTGTGGACAGTTTCCAGGCTCTTCCCTCACCATGAGGGCACATGTTTCCACAGAGCAGGGACCCAGGAAGACGCCATGATTTCCTCCACTGTGTAGCATGGTTGGTGAGTTTTGTACCTCCTCTGGCCACCCTCTCCCGTGGGCGCAGGATTACTTCTGTCAGCCTCGTGGTTTCCCACCTCTTATTGTAGCTCTGCCTCCACCCCAAGGGAAATATCCCCAGGAGAGACAAAACTAGGAAAGAAGATGTCATCTCCTGGTGCCCCACTTTTACAAACAAGCTTCACGTGCCTCTGTGGGGCCATGTTGGCCCAAGGCAGAGGAGGACCTTTTCACTTGACATTAGTGTTTATTGGAGAATATCCTCAAGCATCTGGAGTTGGGGAGCAATTCTACTCCTCCATTCCAGTCCCTCACTCCCAGTCACAGGAGAAAGAACATGTGTTCTTGTTAGAGTTTGGCAATAATAAACTAATGTCTGAAAAATGTTGTGCAGAATGTACTTTGAAAGAGTTAGTCCTGTCTAAATCCCATGCTTCATATAGAAAAACACAGGTCAGAATATGTGAGAGTTGATTTAAAGTGGTCAACACAGGAAACCTGTACAGGAATCATTGTCTGTGGAGAAGCGATAGTTGTTTTTTAACAAAAGAGAATTCATATTGATAGATCCCAGTGTCCTACTTAGCCACTTAGGTTGTGGGATGTGAAGAACCTCTGTAAGAAGGATGAGAATGACATGCCGTGCTCCATGGACTATACTGTTTGTTTGTTTGTTTTTTAAAGATTTATTTATTTATGCAGACAAGAACTGGAGTACAGGCCGGAGGTGTGGTGGGGGGTGGTGAGAAGATTCACCACAGTGGGGAACAGAACAGGCAGGTCTACTAAAATACACTGCTAAGGCAAGCAGGGGGCAAGTCAGGAGAGGTCTGCTGCACCATGTGCAGCAGATCCCCTGGCAGGGGATCAAACTTGTGCTGTGGAGGCTGCAGATAGCTTCACGGGTTACATCTTAACCACTTGTGCCACTATGGAGGCCTGGACTGTACTGTTAATTTTATTCCTTTTGTGTTGTAATAGATTCACAATAGCAACTCTGAGGCAGGAACTGTATCATGAAGCGCACAGAGGTCTGCTTCTTATCAAGCAGAACTGTAACTTTACCTTACTGAGTTTTCTCTCTTTCTGTATCCAACTACTATTTTAAAATATATATATTGAGAGCCTGCTTTATGGTCATTAATATTGATGATATAAAAGTCGTGATGCATGTTTTGTGCTCACACACAAAAGAATGTCTCTGTTGGCTGAGTTTCTGATCAGTGGCAGATTGGGAAATGTTGGTTTTGTTTGACAGGAGACATCATGGCTAGGGTAACAGTAATAATGCCCCTAATTGTCTAGGCATAAAATATATGTGTTGCAAAGGAGAGTATCAACTAAACGAAAGCACTATGCAATGGGAGAAAATATTTGCCAGTCATATTTTTTAAAAAGATTTATTTATTTTGTTTATTTATGTATACAAGAGCTGGGGTTTAGGCCAGAGGTAGTGGGGGGCACTGTTTAGAGGATTCACCAGAGACAGAGTGGGAACAGAACAGGCAGTAACCCCTTGCGCCACTAGGGAGGCCCCGCAGATCATGTATTTGATAAGGGCTTAATTTCCCGAACATAAGGACCACATGCAACTCAATAGCAAAAATCAAACAATTCGATTAAAATGGACAGCTGAATTGACATTTTCCAAAAAGACATGCAAGTGACCAGCAAGTGCGTAAAATGAAGGTGGTCAGCATTGCTAATTATCAGAGAAATGCACATCAAGACCACATGCACAGATCACCTCACACCTGTTCCAGAATGTCTATTATCAAAAAGACGAGATAATAAGTGTTGGCAGGGATGTGAAGAAAATGAAACCCTTTTGCATTGTTGGTGGGAATGTAAATTGGGCAGCCACTGTGGAAAAGTGTGTATAGGTTCATCAAAAAGTTAAAAATAGGGCCTCCCCTGGTGGCGCAGCAGTTGAACGCTGGGCTGTGAGGCTGCCCGCAGCCTCTGCAGTGCCGGTTCGTTCCCCTGCTGCCAGCGAGGGTCCCACAAAAAAAAAAAAAAGTTAAAAATAGTACTACCATATAATCCAGCAATTCCACTTCTCAGTATATATCCAAGGGAAGTGAAAACAATATCTCAAAGAAATGTTTGTACTCCCTAAATTTCTGTCAGCAGATATGCAATAAGATGTGGCATATGTCAATGTGTAGATCTGTCTTACCTGTAACTCTATATCTGTCTGTGAAATAATGGAATATTATTCAACCATGGGAAAGAAAATTTCCATCAGGGAGACTATGGATGGACCTTGAAGGTATTATGCTAATTGAAGTAAATCAAACAGAGGAAGACAGAGGAAGATATTGTTTGATATTATTTATACATGGAGTTCTAAAAAAAGCAGAACTCATAGAAACATAGAGTAGACTGGTGGTTATCAGGGACTGGAACTGGTGGGAAGAGGGAGATATTGGTCAAAGTATGCAAACCTCCAGTGCGAAGATGAATAGTTTGCAGGGATCTCGTGTTCAACATAGTGATTATAGTTAGTAATACTGTATGAGAGATTGGAATTTTATGAGAGATTTTATGAGAGATTGGAATTTTATGAGAGATAGCAATTTACATTGCTAAGACAGTAGATCTTGAATGCTCTCACCAACAGTTGAAACAGTAATTGGGTGATGTGATGGGGGTGTCAGCTAACGCTATGGTGGTCATCATTTTACAATATTTTAGTATATTAGATCAATACATTGTAACTTTAAGAATGTATAATATAGACCAATTATGTGTCAATTAATCTGTAAAAATATAAAAATGCAGTAGTGTGTCATGTCTCTGCATTCATTTTTAGACCATTTTCTAGATCAGTACTGAATATGACACATTTTACTTATCCTAGTAGTAAGCTCAATTTTAAAGAAAAATGGGCCTTTTTCTTTGCTCCGAGATAGCAGTCTCTGAACTATATAGCAAGGTCTTTGTAAAATACCCTTATATCCTAATTGTGCAACTCAAAAATTCTCAGATTCTACTGTATTCATGGGTTCATGTGAATACAGCTAAAGAATACAACCCTTAACGATTTAACAGGGCATAAAGCCTTCAGAGATGAAAGAAGCAGACTGAAATTTTATGGGTGTTCTGATTTGATTTATATTACCAAAATGTCTCAAGTAAGAGATAGAAATGCACTTTTCAAATTTAATCCATTTAAAAACTATAACATCTCTGTTTAAGACTGAACATCTACTTGAGTTATGCTTGCCAGGTTTTATAGTGCTAAGAGAGAAAAACAGTTACCAAAGATTCTGGGTAAACACTACTTAAATCATTTAGATATAACTTATTCTTTGATATTTTGCTAGAATTGTCCTCCAAAACAAGCATTTATTTCAAAATAAAAGTGGTACATTTTAAATTATGAATAAAAATAAAAACATTTGAAGAAAATGTCTGGAGGCCTGAACTCAAATATACTAATTAGTCTTTTTATCAGTCCAATATGTTTTGCCAAAACAATCTTCTGCTTGATTTTAGTGTTGTTTTTCAGTAAAGGTCAGTTTTTGGATATCTTTTATGAAGAACTAGAAGGAAGAACAAGGAAAACAAAATGGAATGAAGAGTTATTTATCTATGATATGATAATGCACAGGATATTATTTCATCTCAAAACACTAGATATGACTTTCACTATATACAACCCATTTTCATATCCCAACAAGACAACTGAATTCTATGGATTCTTCTATAAACAGCTCTCCTTTTTATTCTACCTGACTTACCACACAAAGAAATACTAGTATGGTTTTATGGATATAAACAGATCAAGTAAAATACAATCTAGAAGAATGGTGGCAAAGACACAGAGAACAAAGAAAGCTCAATGACTTCTGTAAGACAACTGTATGAGAAAATGTGTTTGCTTTTGGGAAATAAGTTCTAAAGTATCCAGGGAATAAGGAAGGAGGGTTGATATCTGCAATTGAATCTCATATACACAAACATACACATAAGTCCACACACACACTTATTATTTACAAATATGTGTAGAAAGAGAAGATGTGAGGAAGAGAGAGAACAATTTTGGCAAATGTTTACTATAACTGAAGGATTAGGGAGATCTTTGAAAATTTTTAAGCAACTTCTAGAACTTTGAAGTTGTTTTAAATAAAATAGAATTGAATAAAAATGGCATCATAAAGGAACTATATTAGGATTTGAAAGTAAGAAACAGAAGTTTTAAAATTTAAATGCTTTGATAGTCACTTTCTTCAGGATGCTCTCTTGTGGCTTAGAATTTTTTTTCTTTTTAATTAAGAAAACTCTGATATCAAATATAAGAAGCAACAAATATAAAACAACAGGGAGCTAATATCTGAATTGGAAACATGGGTCTTTTAGCATCTCATCTCCATTTTAAATTTGTCATTAGTCTCCATCTCAGCTCAGACTGCCATAACAAAATAGTAGACTGTGTATCTTGAATAACAGAAATTTATTTTCTTACATTTCTGGAGTCTCAAAGTCCAACATCAAAGTTCTGGGCAATTCTGTTTCTGGTTATTTGTCTCTTCTTGTTGCAGGAGTTGCCCTCTCCTTGAGCGAGGATGAGCAATCTGGTGGCTCATCTTATAAGGACATTAGTCCTGTCAGAACATGGCTCCACCCTTATGACTTCATTTAATATCCCATACTTTATTAGAAACCCCATCTCCAAATGCAACCTCATGGGGGTAAGAAGGGTGGTCATCAACATATGAATTTGGAAGGTGCATGAACACTCAAGTCTTAACAGTCTGGGTGATTTAAAACATCCAGGTTTTCAAAGAACATAGAAAATCAATATTTTATACTATAGACTAAATTATATTTTTGGTTTAGACTACAATGACATGGAATGTCATTTCTGACTCAAGCCCGTACTTATCTCAGCAAAGCACATTCCTACCTTTTAATGGGATGTTCTTTTCTCACAAGTTTGTAGCAAGCAAAGCAGATCAAATAGTGTCCTTATTCTTTGTTCTCTGACTTGGTTAAT